AAAAGATCCAATTCTGGCCTTACAATTTTAAATTTGATGTTATCACATTGCTTTTTGGAACTAACTTAAAAAAAGCACTAGCACTTAAAAAAAAAAAAAATCAAAGTTACTCCTCCTATTATCTCTGACATAAAAAGGCAAATCGAAGGGTTCTTGTGCTGCGGCATGTGGCCATCAAAAAGATTGTTGCCACACGGTGGAAGCTCTCCTCACTCACCTACTGTACTGGCACCCCCACTCCCAAAAATAACAATTGTAAACCGCTTTGAGACTCCAATGTGCAGTGAAAAGGCGGTATATAAAAAGATTACTTACTACTACTACTTACTACTCATCGTCAGTGGTTCGATGTTGCTTTCTTGTAATTAAGTAATCTTTTTTTATATATAGCAACTTTCACAGACCAGTCACAAAGCGATTTTACAATTGTGAACATTTGTCTCTCACTCCTCACAGAGATGGGAGAGAGGTTGCCATACAGGTGGGCGCATGTTAGACCTATTTTTATGTACATGTTTTTAGTAGTAGGGGAAACCTATGCAGACACGGGGAGGACATGAAACTCCACTCAGAAAGGCCTTGTTCCGACCGGAATACGAACAAAGGACCTTTTCGCTGAGAAGTGAGAGTGATGTCTACTAGGGATGCACTGATTGTGAAATGTTGGGCCGATTCCAATGTTCCGATTATCTTTTTGTTATATTATGTATACATACAGTACAGACCAAAAGTTTGGACACACGTTCTCATTCAATGAGTTTCCTTTCTTTTCATTACTATTGACTGTAGATTCACACCCAGGCTGTGTAAGGGCTATTTGACCAATAAGGAGAGTGGTGGGTGCTGGGCCAGATGACCTGGCCTCCACAGTCACCGGACCTGAACCCAATCCAGATGGTTTTGGACCTGAAACCAATCTAGATAGTTTTGGGGCTGGACCACAGAGTGAAGGCCAAAGGGCCAACAACTGCTAAGCATCTGTGGGAACTCAGACCATTTCAGGTCCTCTTGAAGCTCATCAAGAGAATGCCAAGAGTGTGAAGCAGTAATCAGAGCAAAAGGTCCTACTTTGAAGAACTTCGAATAAAAGACATATTTTCAGTTGTTTTTTGTACATAAGTCAACATGAGTGAATTCATAGTTTTGATACCTTCAGTGTGAATCTACAATTTTCATAATCATGAAAATAAAACTTTGAATGAGAAGGTGTGTCCAAACTTTTGTTTTGTTCTGTACTGTACATATAAATATATATACATACATATAATATAATGAATATATAACAATCCAAGATGAGGCGCAGCCATTGACATAAATAACAGTTAGTGTTAAGAGTATAAACACGCAGTAATAACAGGTGAGAAGCATTCAAATGCCCACAACACCCGTACCCAGCATGCCTGGTATGTGCAAATCCCTGGCTGACTTTGATTACATGTGTCTATTTCTCTGGCTGGTTTTATCACCTCATTTTAAGCTTCACATTAACACAGACCATTATTAAAGTACATTGGTCCAGCTGCCTCACATCTGCATGACCCGTCATGGCCCGGATCTCACCACAACTCAGATTACTGCGTCACTTTCAGCAGGGTCTGAAGAGGATTGAGGCCCGCAGACACATGATCGTTGTTAATCTGCTTTTTGCAGTATGAAAATGCCATGCCACACAGAGACACATGCGCGCAGACACACACAAAAATACAGGTTGTACGAATAATTATAATGTTACAATATGCAAAAAGCAAATCGGAAAGCCTGTAAAAAAATCATAATAAACAAAACTACTGAGTGTTTTAGGGCTGGGATAAACGATAATTTTAACGATTAATCTAGCGATTATTTTTTTGATGCATCGATTAATCTAACGATTAATTTTTTCAGTTTGATTTTGATTCGATTCGATTATCGATTATCTTCCCATTAATTGACTAATAGCAATGTATACATTGGGTGTTGTGTGTTGATTTACATATCTGAATGAAAAAACATGAATTCCTTAAAATATATTTATTGCTCTTAAAATGAAAAAAAAAAGACATTCTTAGTCAAAGTAAGCATAAAACCTTGAAGCCTTGAAAATACATCTAGCTTACTGAAAAAAGTGCATCTTATTATTCTTTCAGATGAAAATAAAACTTAGCATTCAATAGAATAAAATAAAGTTAGCCCAAAATACTTGTTTAGAGCAACTGAAAGAATACAGTACGCAATGTAAAACTTGAGGGCTTTAAGCTAGAGGGCTTTTCTAGCAAAAAATAATGAAAACATTTAGAATTCAACAGTTATGTTGAACAAAGGCCTAGCTTACTGAAAAAAATAATTTTCATTCAAATAACAACTTAGACTCTGACACTTTCCTTTCCCCTTAAGAATATTATCTGTCTCTTTGTGTGTGCTTGTGAACAATCCTCCAGCCAGAGTTGTCATTCTCCAGTGACTAAACTTTCACAGCTAGGATGTAGCGCAGCTAGCATGTTCGCCGATGCGGAAGTAACGTCTTATAATTAAATAAACTGATGGTGCACCTCCGTGAACACATACTGCTGTTATATAAAGTCTCTGGAAAGTCTCGGGACACAGAGCCTCTGCAGAGTTGCAGTATTGGAGAAGAACTGTACACAAAAACACGCTAGCTAAACGCCGCTAGCCCAGGACCACTGGTCTGAACACCAAGCCTCTGTAATTTAGAGAATGTGCGTCTCAGAATCAGAATCATTTTTATTGCCACGTAAGTAACAGGAGGTCACAGACTAGGAAATTGCTTTGGCTCAGTGCAAAAGTCAAAAAGAGATAATAAAAATAAGAATAAAAAACACTTCTAAAGAATAAATTTAAATTTAAAATAGAGTTACAGTTACTATTTACAATATACAAGTGCACATGGTGCACACAATGTAAGGTGACAGCAGTACAGTGAAGTAAAGTGACGTATGATGGGCAGTAAAGTGACTTTATAAAGGGCGGGGGGACAGGTTAAGAAGTGTTCAAGAGTCCAACAGCAGAGGGGAAGAAACTGTTCTTGTGGCGGGAGGTTCTAGTCCTGATGGACCGCAGCCTCCTGCCTGAGGGGAGTGGTTGGAATAGTCCATGTGCAGGGTGAGAGGGGTCGGCTGTGATACGACCAGCCCGGCCTCGAGCTCGGGCGACGTACAGGTCCTGCAGCGATGGAAGGCTGCGGCCGATCACTTCCTCTGCAGAGCGCACAATGCGCTGTAGTCTCTGTTTGTCCCTGACTGTGGCTCCAGCGAACCACACGGTGACGGAGGAGGTGAGGATGGACTCGATGATGGCCGTGTAGAACTGCACCAACATCTGTGCAGGCAGCTTGGCTTTCCTGAGCTGCCGCAGGTCTGAACGCCCCATAAGACGGCACTCGCGTACTACTGCTACTACTCGCTGCCATCTTTGTTTTGAGTATGACGAACCAACGCGCATATTTTGTATCAACGTATTTTTTGCCTCAACGTCATCGATTACGTCGGTGCATTGTCCCAGCCCTCGAGTGTTTGTTTTGAGTCATACCGTACCTAACTGGCTGAATTTGCAAGTAAATGGTAACTTAAATGATCAGATTTAATTGATTTCAAATTTCAAATTTGCATTAAGTCAACTCACAAGTTGTTACCAATAGGGGTGGGAACCTCAGGGTACCTCACAATACGATACGCGATACAAAGCTCACAATAACGATTATATCACGATATTATGATTATCGATATATTGGTCAGAAATATACTGTATACTGTTTTAGTAAAGCAATCTGAATAAACACAAAATAGTTATAAGTGTGAGTTAACAAATTCTCCACTCTGGATTCAAATACAGCACATATCGGCGTAATAAAAGAAAAATATTAAGTGAAAAAATACACTTTATTTCATGATAAATGGAATGGAGATGCGTTTTTTTTTATTGATACTTAGCAAAAGGATATCGATAATCGATCGAGTGAGAAAGTATCACGATTCATCACGATATATCATCACACTCCTCGTTACCAATACTAAAAGGTATACAGGAAGATTTTCCCAAATTTTAGGAAGGAGCCGCCCTCCACTTTTTGAACAAAACTCTGATCTTATTTGACGAGCACGTATCACCAGAATGATTGACTATTGTGAGGACCAATAGTCTTGTTGAGCAACCTGAAAGACAAAAATCCTCCTATATACCTTTAAGTAAACCAGGCCGCTTTGTGAATCACCTGTTCAGCAGTGGCTATAAAGGATTTATCAGTCTTTTTACAACAATGAAAACCACAAATGCTTTTACTGCTCCAGTCTAATTGAGTCTGAAGGTTGTGTCACATTTTATCAATTTTATTACTGGTTGGGTGCTATGGTTATTTCCATTTGAGACATGCACGGAGCAAAGTAAATCTCACTTTCCCTGTCTGTGACTGTAATAAACCTCCAGCAGCTAATCCGTTATCCTCGAGCAGTTTCCCATGAAACTCTTTATCTGAGTGTGAGAGAACAGAGAAAGTCAAGGACACCACGTAATGAGGTGGACATAGTCTGATCAATCAAACACTGACTAAGAGGACAAAGTATTCACAGCTTGAAAGTACTTTATGAGGCAATATGGAAGAATGTAGGGCTACAGTCTATTAAGGCAATATGGAAGAATGTAGGGCTACAGTCTATTAAGGCAAGACACTGCGTGTGAAGAGTTAGAAGTTACTCCTGCAATTTGATACCTTATAATTAAGGTTTGTAGAGATATTAAATCTTTTGGTACCAAAGGAACAGAAACATTATCTTCAAAATCGAGGACACTTTTTATACAGCAATCTGGCATCAAATTATCCCCTATATATATTTTTTTTTAAAGATCTTTTTCATTTATTCATGTTGGTACACCATCTCAAGAGTCATGTTCTCTTTTGTATGGGAAAAAGTCCTGAAAACGTTTGTGAACAGACAGGAAGCTGAAAGTTATGAAGGGCTCCAGTGTGGTGTGTGTATCTATGCGGGTTGTATGGTGAGATTTCTTACCTGAGCTGTAACTATCTGTGGAGGACTGAGAGATGGAGCGAGACAGTGAACGTCGACCAATTTTGGAGGGTCTCTTGTTAAACTCCTGTTTCTGATCTGCAAACTGGATCTGTGAGAAAGCCAAAGGCAACAGGGTCAATGTAATTGGTCACCTTCATGACAAAAAGTTAAGGCATTGCGATACAAGTGAATTTAAGGATAAATTATGAAAAAATGTCTTTCAAACCATCTTACAACATAGATCGCTTAATAAAATCCTCTGACCCTCTGACACAAATCACCTCAACCACGCCCCCCCCCCCCCCCCCAACCCCACTGTCTTAATGCTCAACTATGCAAGATATGACAAATTCTTCAAACTATAACGCCATGGTCAGAGCAGTTTTGTACCAAATGCTTCCAATTTTTGCCATGTCAGATTTTCAATAAAATTACACTAATTGTGATCAAATACATTCCCTTCTCTACCTGTAGATGCAAGTGTTTCATTACAAAACCCTTTACGCCGCGTTCAGACTGGAGTAACGCCGAGATACACTGCCTTGAAGAGATGCACTGCCTCAGCTGTTTATGATGTAATGCAAACCTGCGCATGCGCGTCTCACGGAATTTCTTTAAAAGTTAAAATACGAACGAATTAAGACACAAATGTCACTTTTAATGCAATTTGAGGCGAGATGTTGATGGTTCCGTTTTGTCACATGTGGGTTTTAAGAGTCAAAGTTTCGTGCAAAATTTAGTTTAAGCAGTCAACTGTGCCTGTGAAACCACAAAGCTAATGTTTTCATAGCAATCCGTGGCTGCTGACGTAGGCTGATGACGCGTCCTGTGGCAACTCTACAGCTTACAACTGGTCTGTCGGGTTGATAATGGAAAATGGGGAAAAAAAATCAATCTAGTTAAATATTTCGTTTGAAAACACTATTGTTAATCATATTAAATACAGTACGATACATATATTAAATTAAATGTATTATTTCCATTATCAACCCGACAGACCAGTTGTAAGCTGTAGAGTGGCCACAGGGCGCGTCATCAGCCTACGTCAGCAGCCGCGGAGGCTGCTATAAAAACATTAGCTTTGTGGTTTCACAGGCGCAGTTGATCGCTTAAACTAAACTTTGTGTCTTAATTCGTTCGTATTTTAACTTTTAAAGCCATTCACGGTCCGCCATCTTGGTTTGCTTCGGCTGCCGTGAGACGCGCATGCGCAGGTTTGCATTACATCATAAACAGCTGAGGCAGTGCATCTCTTCAAGGCCGTGTATCTCGGCGTTACACCGGATCATGCGTTGCGTCGCTTTCAATGCAAAGTCAATGGTGACGCACGTTCGAGCGTCAAAACGCGCAAGCGTCTCAGAATGCGTGCGCGGACTGCGCGGGAGAGTCGAAGGGGAGGAGCAGGAGCAGAAAATCGACGCCCGCAGGAGACCAATCAGGGAGCCGCAAAGTGGTCACACGGAAATTTAGTGGTCTGAGCTAACAGACTGAAAATACTCGAAAAGAACCAAAACAGGAGCTACACCAGGACTAAACCAGGGTTGACGATGGGGGACATAGTGCTTGTGAACATGTGAGTTTTCATGCTCCCGTGACTTGCAACTGCTTCGAGTGTGTGTGTTCGCCGATGCGGAAGTACCGTTTAATAATAAAATAAACGTATGGCGCACCTCCGTGAACACATACGGTTATATAAAGTCCATGGAAGGTCTCTGAACACAGACACGTTGCAAAGCTGCATTATTGGAGAATATCTTTACACGAGAAGCCGCTAGCTAAACTCTGTTAGCATCAGAGCCCACCGGCTACTTCCGCCACTTCCGGCGCGCGCCAGGACTTCTGGTCTGAAGACCCCTGCGTCTGAAAACTAGAGAATGTGCGTTTCAGCGTTGGCGGTCTGAAAGCACCATAAGTCTATCCATATATATATATAAGAAATTATTTCACATTCTGAAATATGAAATACCAAAGAAAAATATATTAAAAGGTATCAGAATTTTTATTTTTTTTTCCATCATGCAATAAGACATTTTATTGGATTACATTTACATAACAATGCACACAACCATGACATATTTCAGATAGGTCCTATGTATGTATGGAGTCTTAAAGATTAGCCAGTAAAACTGATAGTAGAGGAATCAACAAGGAATTCAAAGATAAAGAGGACATTATTCACCAGGAACAAAGACAAGATTGTGTGTTAGACAAAAGCTTGCAAAATATGTATGGTTTAAGCCAGGTCAAGAACCTGCTATAACAAATAGATAATGCTAAGATGAATTAAATGGAAGTTTATAAATACAGTGAACAAACTTACAAAAACCTGGTTAAGTCAACTAAGAATGGTTTTAAGTGCATTTGGTTTCAGCTCACTTCTATATCAAGAGAAAGATTTCAGATTGACTCTAACTTATCGCAAAGACATAGGGTTTTAGATTGATTTAGAACGCCACTGCCATTAAAAGATAAGTCAAAATACAGGTTACCCAGTATTACCAAGGTAATAATGCTGCTGTCTGGAGGTGATTGCATATTCTGAAGCCTTAATGAAGTTTAATGCAAATATGTCACTTTACAATGATATATTTGTGTTCCATTGGTTTGGAAAGTTGTTGGCAGCATTGGGAGTTTATAGTGACTAGAGTGTTGAAAGAGGTTACAAATATGTTTAGGTTAACTGATTACCACAGGGTCACTCTGACTCAGCACAGGAAGTACAAGTATGTCAACAAACACAGGGCAGACACTAGAAATGCAAATGGCCTGCACTTCATATGGACCTGATAAAAAAAGCATCATATAGAGTGCCAAATTTCAGGTTTTCTTCCTAGGTTGTTAAACTCATTACACCGTTGCAAAGAAGAGTTGTGTAAAAATAAATAAAAAAAACTTCTCATTTGCGCAGAGACCTCCTGAGCCCTATTCCGACCAGGATTTGAACCCAGAACCTTCTTGCTGAGAAGTGAGAGTGCTATCCACTCAGCCGTCAGGAGACGAGATTTGAATGGAGGAATGGGCCAAAATACCAGCCACTGTGTGAAAGTGAAAACAAAGGGTACATACAAAGTATTGAGACAGTTTAAACAATGTCAACATTTCATAAGCTACGCAAGTGCCCTTTCCTCATACTTTATGCTGTCATAACATGCAAATAGCCGCGGCTCCTGATGTTTTACACAGCAGTCAGATTTGCTTTGAGTATTTAAAGCAAGAAAGTTGCAAGGTCTCAGACAGACCAGCGGTACCAGTCAATACTGGTAATCCATAGTCTGAACGGTTTTCCTTACACAGGCTGTATTAATGTGGCTTGTATAATTGTACGCCGGAGGTTTTGTTCACCAAAACAGATCCATCACGGATCAATGGGGGTGGTAGGACGGATTAAAAACCAATGCTCATAAACATCCTGGAACATCAAATATCCTTAGACAGCAGGATGGGGGCTAGGGACGTAACAAGTTATATTTCAGATCCTGTGTGTGCTTATGAAACTAAGCACACAAATTTCAATGATTCAAAAATGTTGAGCGTAAGCTCTTGTGGCAGAGTTGAGAGTGAATCCAACATGAGATGCACCAGAAACAAGCTGGTGATAAAAGCTGATATTTCCTCACTATCCCATTTTATCTCAGTCTGTGACATTACAGAACTTAGATTAAACTGCCAAATGTTACTTAATCCTCTGTGGACCTGCTTGTCTACAGCCAGTGTTACCAATGTTTGCATTTTTATCATGAAGTTATTAAATAGAGTGATGCGTTGACAGCCAAGAAAAAACCTCATGCATGTCATGTGAATAACAATATTATGGAGGATTATTTGCCCTGTCAAGTTGGTCTGCACATGCAACTCAGCAGAACACAGAAAGTGTCATCATCACTGTGTTCTGCTGGTGAGTTTAAGTGCTTGATATGCACAGGGGTGCATATCAGTGAGGTACTCACTGTACCAGGAGATGTTGTTTAGTACTCACTCCATTTGTCGCGTGGTTCTTAATCAAGATTTTATACTTGCTTCTTTTTCAATGCTAAAGTTTAGATCAGCTCAGATAATACACTCAATCCAAGTCAAATAATGACTCACAGGGCTCTTTCTTAAATATGAAAAACAAAAATCAAAATAATGTTCCTTTTGATTTGTTCACAACATTTTACTTTTGGGCACAACCAACATTATTATGCATTATTAATGCAAAGGATTACAGCTTTAATTTAGAGACACAGGGAGGACATGGACACTCCCTTTAGGCTCCACAATCCAGCTCTGTTTCTTGCAGTAACACAATATGTGACAGTGTGACACAATAACGATGTGACAGTGATCTCCAAGCACTGCTCTCCTGCTCTGGAATATCTTTTCATTCATTGTAAACCATATTACTCCCCGCGGGAAATTGTTTCATTCATTCTTGCCTCTGTTTACATATCGCCATGCGCGGACGCGCGCGAGGCTCAGCGCGCACTCGCAGAGCAAGTACTGTGTATGGAACGCTTATACCCGGACTCTCTGATTATTATCCTGGGGGATTTTAATAAGGGAAACTTGAGCCAGGAATTACCCAAATACAGACAGTTTATCAAATGCCCGACCAGAGAGGAGAACACTCTGGATCACTGTTACACCACCGTGCGCGGAGCTTTTCGCGCTGTTCCCAAGCCAGCCCCTCGGCTTCTCAGATCACTCCATGATACATCTGGTTCCTGCTTACAGACAGAGACTAAAGCTCTCGAAACCTGCAGTGAGGAGCTCCAAAGTGTGGTCTGATGAAGCTGTGGAAGAGCTGCGCGCATGCATGGAATCTACAGACTGGGACCTTTTCAGAGCTGCCACAGACAGCTTGGATGAATATACGGACACTGTGACGTCATACATCCACTTCTGTGAGGATAGCATCATTCCAACAAGGACCAGGGTCATCTATAACAACGACAAACCCTGGTTCACTGCTAAACTCCGGCAGCTCAGGAAAGCAAAGGAGTCTGCTTTCAGGGAGGGGGACCGCAGCGGCTACAAAGCAGCTAAATATCAGTTCAGGAAAGAACTGAAAGCAGCCAAGTCCCGGCACAGAGAACGACTACAGGAGCAGTTTGGTAACAACGATACTGC